ACTGAACCTTTAGCTGCAAAAACTGCTTTTAATTTACCTAAACCTTCTACAGTTGTGTCTTTTCTTGGACCTTCATCTGTATCTACTGTATATTTTTTAGATTTACGTTTATTTTTTTCATCTAAATAAATTTCTTCAACTGTAATAGGAACAATTTCATCTTTGAATTTTCCTTCTTCAATTGCTTTCATTGCTTTTTGATGTGAATTATAAGAAAATGTATCTTGTTGTTCTCTACTTATCTGATACTGAGCTGCTACAGCTTCAGCAGTTAAACCCATAGATGAATAATAATCCCATGTGTTTTTAGCAATTTCATAATTCAAAACTGTTCGCCAGCCAGTCATTGGTAACAACGACATAGACTCTACACCACCAGCAATGATACAATCTGCCATACCTGCTTTAATTTTTGCAGTTGCCATTGCAATGGTTTCTAAACCTGATGCACAATAACGATTAACTGTAACACCAGCAATACTTAAAGGAAGTCCAGCACGCAATACAATCATACGACCAATTTGCATACCTTGTTCTGCCTCTGGAATGGCATTTCCACAAATTAAATCATCAATTCGTGATGGATCTAAGTTTGGAACTGATGCTACAAGATGTTTAACCACATCTGCACCCAAATCATCTGGGCGATAAAAACGGAATCCACCTTTTTTGGCTTTTCCTATTGCGGAACGATATCCTGCTACTATATATGCTTCAGACATATTTTATATTTTTATTTTATTAATAATTAATTTCTTAATGGTTTTCCAGTTTGTAACATGGCTTGTATTCTTTCTAGAGTTTTCTTTTCGCCACATAAAGATAAAAATGCTTCCCTTTCTAAATCTAATAAGTATTGCTCAGATACTTCTCTTGGTGCTGAAAGATCACCGCCACACATTACATAAGCTATTTTCTTAGCAATTTTAGCATCATGCTCTGAAATATAACCACCTGCAACAAATGATTCTACACCAATAGTCAGCGTACCTAAACCAGTTCTACCTAATACTTGAATATCATTTCGTGCTGCTGGTTGCGTATATCCTTTGTCAGCTAAATATAGTGCTTCTTTTTTAGCTTCTGCTATCACTCTTTTTGAATTTAGAACTACTCTATCTTTGTCATTTCTCATTAAGTTTAATCCAAATGTTTCAAATCCAGAGAATGAGGTTTTTGCCATAGCAACTGCTAAGAAATTATCTTGTAAAGTAGGTAAAATTGGGTCGCCATTTTTAATTGAATCTGAAGTACGTAATACCATTTCTTTAGTACCACCGCCACCAGGAATTAAACCAACACCAACTTCTACTAATCCCATGTATGTTTCTGCTGCTGCCACTACTGCATCTGAATGTAATGTTACTTCGCAGCCACCGCCTAAAGTCATTCCGTGAGGTGCAGACACTACTGGAATTCCTGAATATCTACAACGCATTGTTGTTTTTTGAAACTGTCGAATAGCGATATCTAATTCGTCATATTCTTGATCCATTGCCATCATAGCAATCATCATTAAGTTGGCTCCCACTGAAAAGTTTGGTGCGTCGTTGCCTATTACTAAACCTTTGTATCCTTGTTCTGCAATTTCTATAGATTTATTGATCGCTTGTAAAACATCGCCACCTAATGAATTCATTTTTGATGTAAATTCTAAACATAAAATACCATCACCTATATCATGTAATGTGCCACCAGAATTTTTCCAAACAGGTTTGTTGTTTCTTAAATTATCTAAAATGATAAATGAATCTGCACCTGGAATGGCTTTGTATGTCTTTGATGATTGATCGTAATATTTTTTTACGCCATTTTCTGTTTTATAAAATGTTGTATTTCCTGATGCTAACATATCTGCAACCCAAGAACCTATACTTAGATTGTCTGCTTTTGCTAATTCAATTCCTTTTTCTATTCCAACAATGTCCCAATATTCAAATGGACCAATTTGCCATGCAAAACCAGCACGTAATGCATCATCAACAGCATA